AATCAACCCCAACGCTCTTGTGTGATATTAACTGACAAAGACGAAAATGAAGTACATATGCGCTTTAATCATAGCTTGTTTTAGTTCGTTTTAAAAAATTTAAATGTCGTTTCAGTTAGTTTTAATTGTTTTAAAAAACATTTTGGTTTTCATTTCATTCCGTTAAGGAGCTTTTTATTTATTTTGTTTGCAATTTTTTTTTGCAATTTTAGTCAGGGATGCTTGATACCACTTTTTTTTTCCAGACCGATACAAGTATGAGTATTCAGACTTTGTGAACTCATTGATACCACGAGTACTTTTGATATATAAAACGTCATTGAACACGACAAAAAAATTTACTTTCTGATGCAGATGTGTCAAACTCTTGCAGTATAGCGCCCCCTACTGCCTAGGAGGAGTTACTCAATGTCAGATTTTTGTTTTTGCGTCCGGTATCGTTGGGAAATGTAGTTGTCTGTACCAGGATGCTCAGGTAAACCTGTTCACTGTACGAACCGCGAACTAAAAAAACTGTCAAAAAAGGAGAGAATTATTTTTCAAATAAATGAAATGCTGACGCCCCGCATAATTTAGAGACACGAAAACAGTCCTAAATTTAAAACAATAGAAACGAATAAGACACTAAAGTAAAGGAATAAAATGAGGTTTTGAGGCACGTTGAGAAACAAAAAAAGATCGTGTGCGCGTCGGACTGACGTGCACTGAGATGTTGTTGAGTAGTTCAGGAAAATGCCCTCGAAGATTCCATAATCCAAAAGTAGCGGGTCAGCTGAGACAGAGCGAGACCATTTTTGATGTGAATATAAAAGGCAGCGGGCGTGCAAAGGCTGGGGTGGGCATCCACCTCCCACCCCCCATCACCCAAAAATGTGGATGTGCAGCAGGCAGCAAAATTAATTGCGAACAGGCAAGACCCCAAATAAGTTTATTAACAAGAAAAAAAAAGGCTTTAGATTAATTTTTACCTTTTTTGAATTTGTTTTGTGAAAATCATTGATAGTGGGGAAAAAAAGTTGCATATGAATCATGAATTATTTTTTGCTGTCATTTAATTGAATTTATCCCACTAAAAATAATTCACTTATGTGACTGAAATGACATATAGCAATAAAAAAAACCACAAAATACAATACAATACATGCTGATTTTTTATCCAAA